GGGGAATTCTCTGACCTGCTGGAGCAGCATCTAATAGCCAACTCGCAAAATAAAACAAAATAAAAACAAACCAACAAACACGAAAACAGCGGACATTGCATTGTGTTATCTTGTTTGTGAATATTAACGTTCTTGGGATTTGAGAGTATTTAGTTGGTTTGTATCTTATACCAAATTTACACTTTTTCTGTCAACAACTGTGTAACATTTATAGGAAAAATGCTCTTAACAGTTTGATTTGAGGTTCTTGGTTGCAGCTAAACACTCCTCACATTGTAACGGCCAAAAAAGCCATATAAATTGGAAATTTCTAGACTAATGCTTAGAAATACTTTGAAGAAGACTTTGTTATACATCCAATCATCTTCTTTGAATTACTGAGGGGCAATGCTTTATCTCACCAATCCTTCTGGGCTGCAGAGGACCACTAGCTCCACAATGAGCTCTTCCCCTTATCCCCAAGGCTGAGGCACTGTTGTATAGACATATGTATAGACAGTTTGTACCTTTATCACCCAATGTGCACATAGGCATACACTTAAGTACATGATGGTCATGGGAAATTCACTGTGATAAACCTCAGCTTTGCTTAATTCTCTAGGCAGCATCTGTCAGCTCTAGCAGTGCATTACATACTTTAAAGCAATACTTAACCTCACCATACTCTTTTTCATCCTTTTCTTTTCTTTTTTTAGATTTTATATAATCTCTCCGACGATATCATTTGCAGCATATTATGCTGCGAGTGTTCTCACTGTTGACCTGCTGTTTCATTGTCTCTTGTTGACTGTCAGTACCCTTTAATCTTTATTACTTCTATATCTTTCATCTTTAGATTCACATATCTCGGTTTTGACAATTACTGAGAATTATTGAGAATTTAAAGAGATATTCAGACTATAAAGATTAGCCCCTCCCTCCACTCAACACTCGATCACTTAGACGGAATATGAAATTTAATTTGTTAGCACAGTACTGGATTATATGATTGTTGGGTTTTTCTCTGTATCTATAAAGCGCCTTGACGCGACTTTTGTTGTGATTTGGCGCTATATAAATAAAATTGAATTGAATTGAACTGATTAAATACTAGGATACACAATTTTTGTAAAATACCAATAACTTAGGGTTATTCATGCTTTCCTCAGATTTTTACAATTACCAAAAAAAAAAAACAAACAAACCCAAAACACACTATTTGGCTAACAATAAAAAATATGTAAAGTAATCAAATATACAAAGTATTATCAAATAAGCAGAATGTAAATATTGGGAAACAAAAAAATGATAATAAAAAATTACTTAATAGACAGAATACAGAAGAAACTCTACTTCCCCTCATGCTAGTAATTACTTTGACTTTGCAACCCTGTGTATTGTAAAACTAATAAACGAAATGCCAGGCTCAGGCAACACTTTTCCATCCCTGTCTGAGTCTTCCTTTTTTTGCATTTCTTTTCTTTTTTCTGTGTCTTTGATTTACTGTGATCTTTTTCTTTTACTCTATCGTTTACAAAGCAAAATAAATCATTGCTGGAAATCAACGCAAACATGCAGTCAGAAACAGATGATTACTGAAGGGGAAAAAAGAAGTGAGTCGTAAGCAGAGGTGGAGAAAGAATGATAATCTGTTCAAAGTGATAAGCTGAGGGGAAAGAGGAATTTTTTATGCTTGCCTGACCTGTTTAATCCTGCTCTGTCTTTATATTCTGGCTCTCCACTGTCTAATATTCTCTTCAAATTACAACTACCTCTATGGTAATCCCACCCTTCTGTGGCCTACATTATATGTTAGTCTGTGTTCAGCTCAGTGTGATGAAAGCAGACAATTGCTATTGCAGTGATGAGATAGTCAATCAAAATGGATATCAGATATGATCAAATTCAATCACTCAGATAGGTGGTTGGGCAATCAGCAGTTTAGATTTAAAGTGTTACTGGAGGACAGGACCTGAAAAGCATAATCCTGCATTGTGGTTTCATGGCTCCTGTTCAAAATCAGTGCTATTCTGCCCTCTGGTGTTTAAAAACTGTACAGTATGAATTGGCAGCACGGGGCCATCTATCTATGGCATCTTTTCTTCTTACAAAAAGGTTAATAAAGTGACTGAAAAGACAAACAAGCTAAATTCCACTCTAAATTCATCCAGTCATTTAAAAATGTTTATGAGTTTAATACCAAAGTTCCACCAAAGTGATACAAACAATTACAGCTTTTTATTTTAAACATTTAAAACAGCTGTACATCACTATAAAAAGATAAGTATAAAAATACTTGAAATTCGAACACGGACACATTTACAATGTTAAACGCTGTGCATGAATGCTAAGATTTTGTAACTTTTACATGAGACAGGATATGGAACAATATATTTTCTACTGTACAAACTGAATTTCGACCTCATGATAGAGCTCGGGAAAGCTAACTACAAATCGCCACGGTCTTGCACTAAATCAGAAGGATATACATTTTCCAGTTTTCAGTCACATGCTCAAGCTGATGTATTGATCTTTATAGGCTCGCCATTCAGGGGTAGTAGTGACAATGTAGTACAATTTTAAAAGGCCATATAAAAACATTTGAAATGTAACTTCACTGATTACTAACAAAACTATATAGTTGTTGATGATGTATCATGTCCCACATTTGAACTACTCTTCTTACAGCCCTAAATCAAAACACTGATTGGTGGAACAATCAATGATGTCACTGTTAACATGGAAATGTTTAGTTTCAGGTGTTGAAACTTCAGCAACAGTGTGAGCAGTGATTTCAGTCAGGAACAAAGCACCGTACCGTATGGATAACTATAGTTTGCTGCACAAACACAACACAAACCATACATTTACACATTGTTATTTTAATTCTATGAAAAGGGAGTTTTTCCTTCTCACAGTCGCCAAAGCACTTACTCATGGGGGTCATATGATTGTTGGGCTTTTCTTTGTATTATTGGGAGGGCCTTGACACAACTGTTATTGGGATTTGGTGCTATATAGATTAAATTGAATTGAACTGTATGGCCAAAAGTATTGATTGTCTGCCTTCACAAACACATAAACTTAAGTTGATGATGTTGGACCACCCTTTGCAACTATAACAGCTTCAACTCTTCCACATGTTTTAGGAGTGTGTCAATAATTTGGATAGTAGAATTTTGGTAATATAGTGTATGTCTTACAGTACCTGTAGGGCACATGTGCTTGATTAAATGTAATTCATGCACTTCCCGAGGCACAAAGCCAAAAATCAATTGATGTCTCAGCTATGCTCCACTATATTGTCCTGCAAAGCTGATGAGACGGTGGGCTGGCTACTGTATCACTGACAGGGTGATGCTGGGATTCCTAGGCCAACATCTCGATTGCTCCTCCTCCTAATGTGACTTATTAAGCTCTTTCCTGGGGTCATCAGTAACACCCCTCTTTCTTCTACCAGTCCGTCAAACACTGCTCCCAAACTCTGCCGTATTCTTACACAGAAACGTGGGCAACTGAAGACATAGAGAATAGGATTCAGTAGTGGATTTAAGAATGCCAGTGTTGTAGCTAGAGGTAGACCTACTTCCACTAGTTTGAGATATTCCATATTATATTGGGCTGCCACTTCAATCATACAGAAGATGTGATAAGGAGCCCAGGACAGTGCAAACGCTGTAATCACAGATGTCACCATTTTAGTGAAACTCTGGGATAGCTGGCTCTGACTCGTTAGATTAGGGATGGTAGGGGTCAAGGGGTCTTCTTTAGTGGTTAATGATGGACAAGGGATTAGAAATTTGAGAGATAATTTATTTGTGGCTGCAGTTCTTCCATGTGTAGTTCTTGATTGTTGATTTCTGTTTAACGTAATCAGATCATCAGTTAGTCTAGTGGCACTCTGCTTCCTCCTCCTGTTCCTGCTCCTCAGACTGAGACCAATTTTGATGTAGCTTCCTGCAATCACTGCCAGTGGCAATATGAATGCCAGCAGCAGCTTGGAGATAGCTGTGGTCCACTGCCTCATGTTACAGTCTCTCTCAAGTGTGGCATGTGAGGAATACATGGCAAAATTGTGATAGCACAACTTTCTTTTATGCTTCGTTTCAGTTACTGAGCGGAAAACAAAATATGGCAATGCATTAGCTGCTGCCCATAGCCAACCCAATATGCACACTTTCCACGCTCCTGCTACTGATCGATGATTTTGGCTCCACACTGGCTTGGTGACCAGAAGTAAGCGGTCCAGCGAAATGGCTGCCAAAAGGAAGGCTGATACAAACATGTTGAAGAAAAAGATGAATGTCTGCACTTTGCAAAGTGGGTTGCCGAGCTCCCAGCTGTGACGAAAGTTTAGGTATAAAGTGAACAGGGGAAGCGTCAGGGTAGCCAGGAAGTCAGACAGGGCCAGGTTGAGCACCCAGATGGAGGCCACGGTGCGTTGTCTTAGGCGGAAGCCCACCACCCAGATGATCAAGGCATTCTCCAAAATCCCCAGGCCAGAGACCAGTCCATGGATGCAAACCACAGTCAGATTGACCTGTGTGTTGTTATTAAGTTCATGCCTCCTCATCATCTCAAGCTGGGGACAGAAAACCTGGTCCTCTGAGACATTTGTCATGTTTGAGATAATTTTTTCTGAAAAGTGAAACAAGACACAGACACAAAGCTTATGAATAACCAGTTAAAGTCAGATTTAACGCAGGTACCATTTGTTTTACAAAAGGTCACGAGGTATTTTACTTTCCTGATCTCATATCCATCTTTGTGAGAATGTAATAAGTAATCTATGTGTTTAAATGCCCCTGTGAGCAAGCTTACGCTGAACAAGCAAAGAGATACTCAAACAACACATTTCAAAGCACAAAACAGCAATTTGCACTGGGAACATGGAGTTTTTCATAGCTAAACACCCGGCTGCCGCATACTCCACGTATATTATAGCCAGACATACATGGAGTATCTATCAAAGTTGCTGTCTCTGAGAGAGACGTATTGGATCTCAGCACTTGCTATAGTGACACCTGCTGGACTGAATTATGGTTTCACTTTTAAATGTTTGTTTTGATCGAGTTGAGGTAAATTAAAAACAACATATATTCACAAGAGCTTGAATAAATATATATATACAAGCTCTGTTGAAGGCAAAAAAAAAATTAGCATATTTGTTGGAATGGCGAAAAATAAGCTGAGATTTGTCAACTGTCCCTGTGGTTTGGCGTTAGTGATTCCTATTTCCCTTTTGATACTCATGATTTTGATTTGGCACAACAGATAAATGTGCTGGGGAGGTGCATCCTCTTGAGATAATGTTATGAAACCTTAATGTGATTGTGCTTACCACTGACACTCCTTCCACACCCTAAGGTGCCTTGATTCCACTTTTCTTGCCTGTTTATCTTTTTGTTTTTATTGAGCAATTACATACTTTGCTTTCAGCATTATGACTAATATGATTATTGGTGAATAGTGAATCACTGGGTAGTAATATTTTTGGAAATTAAAGCAGTTGTCTTTCACCATAACTGTCATGGAAGTTCGTTGTGAGAAAAAAATAAGAAAAACAGCGACACAGTCTCTTTGAAACATGTCAAAGCTTGTTTTTGTAGACTAGCCACATACCATCTATTGAGCAACTACACATGCTTAGTTAAAGACAATCCATAGTAGAAAACAGAGATACCAACAATCTGTGAGGATGCCTGTCGTTATCAGCCCATAATATCGCCAGTGAAATATACACTTTGCTCTAAAGACATAAGGGTAGCCAAAACTTAAATGTACGGGCACTTTTCAGTTTTAAAACATTACCATACTGTGTACACAATTCAAAACACCTATTTTTAAGGTTTCAAGTGATTGTTGTTAATGTTATGATAAATCATTATAAAAGTCATTTTAAAATTGTAAAAGACAAAGGAAGACATCAAATAATCACTTTTTTTTTTCTTTTTTCCTGATATTACTACTATCAACATACTTAAGGGTCATTTCTTAAAATGGACATGATTATGAAGTTGCTAGATCATGACTGCATAATTCACAGTGCGTGAATGTGATATGTTCAAATTAGAGAAATAGACACTCGTTATCACTTCACTCCTCACAAAGATTAGTTGTGGCTTATATGCTTGTCTCATCAGAGATTTGACTTTAAGGTTGTAAGCCTCTCCTGTAAGTGTGAACAGTTAGGAACTATTTAAAGTCATGACTGAAGACACGATCTGCACCTCAGGCACAAAACCCACTGACAGTTACCTGGCACGTTAACACTAGGACCACTGTACTTACGCAAGTAGGAAGTAGATGAAGTAGTAAATGGAATCAAGATAACTGCGTCTTAAACGAAGAGTCATTTTTTCCCCCTGATTACCACATGCCACATTGTTTCCAGAACTATGGATTTCCAATTCCAATACATGAAGAACTCCAAACGAAAAAAAATCCTAGGGCCGATACATTTGAATAATTTGTGGCTCAGCTTTAACACAAGTATTTATTGTTAGATTAGATTAAGGGGAGTAACACAAAGCAGTGACGCCCTTACAACAGAGACAGTGTAGCTAATAAAAAAATTATCTGATTACTACAGTAGCTTTTTAGTAGTTCTAGTATTGAACATTAAGGGAGGTAAAATAAAGAAATACACTATTAATATGAACTTTAAGTTTCTGCCTGTTCTAATTGTTCTCTACTGTTGCTATTTCTTCCTTATTTTCCAACAGATTCCAGACATTTTACAGGCACTGAAATATGGGTTGAGATTTTTATAATAAAAACATTTGACTATTCACGTATAAAATTCAAAGCAACATTGTTGTCCCTTAGCTATGGTTACATTCTTAGTCATGTCCCTGCACTCATGATGTAGATGAGGTAAACACAACACCAAGTCTGCACATGAATACAGAAAGATGAGTTGATAAAAACGAGACACAATGCTGACGTGAATGCATGAGTGTTTCTTTCTTTCTTGGATTACTAATTTAGGGGTTGTTTTAGCTTTCTGGAGAACTTTTTAAATATCTTGGGTAGGGATGGGTATCGATGAGATTTTCACGATTCCGATTCCATTTTTGATTCTGTTTAATGATTTGATTCTTTATCGATTCTTTTTAAAAAAGGAGAACACTAAGGTCGATTAGCTTAGAACTTTGTTTTTTATCTTCTCTTTGAACAAGATAGAAATTTAGGAGTAACATGGCCTTACAAACCCAACAGTGAGATCTTAAGAGATCCACAGCCTACGGCTCGTCAATGGGGTGTCACAGGGTCCCCAGGAAAAAAATTGTAAATGTAAAATAATAAAATAAATATTCTTCTGTAGCAATAACAAAGTATAACATAAATTATTCTGTAGAAATTACACAAGAATATCCAGTTATGTCCCTGCCTACAATTAAACACATTCACTTACCGAAAATCGGGGGCATCTGCTGTGGCAAATGGGTTCAAGCCTTTGACCACAAACTTAGTCACTGCTCAGTGACATTTGTCTATCCTGGCCTGAAAGGAGACGCTACCGGTAGACTGCAGCGAGAACTGCCAGCATCTGAGCCAGCCAGACTCTGTCTGTCTATCTCATCATGGTCACCTAAATGCACAGTAATGGCAGGTTTTGTAATAAGGCAGATCGCGCTAACATAATATGCACTGTTAGTTGATTATTTACCTGCCGCAATTGAAACAGTGGGAACCGGTTCTCAACAAGAACCGGTTTTCGATACCCATCCCTAATCTTGGGTGAACTCAGTCTTTGAATACCTACATTATGAGAGGCCCATCTAATACAAGACAGAACAATTTCACCAGGCAACTCTGCCTGCTTTGGCACCAGCTGTAGTGATTATGAAAATAGAGATTTGTGCTTTTATGAACATTGAGTCTATTATGTCAAAGCATATTATCAGTGTGGAATTATTTCTATCTTTACTACCTTGACAGCTGCTACACATTACACTTTTATGTGAATTCTATTGATTCTTATGCTTTATGTGTGCTCTATATAGTCAGGTCATATTTTATTAAGTAACAGCAATTCAATTCAACAGCAACATAATATACAGCCTCTACATTGGCCATAAAACTGAGTTACACCTTTGTCTCAATGAATTAAATTACATTGAAGTGTAGCCTTTTAAAAAACAAACAAACAAAAAAAAAACAAAACAAAACTCTGCTAACTAAATGTGCAATAATCCATATATCAGATTTACTGTCCATTGTTAAAATTAAATGTATAAAGAGACAGGTGACAAGCTCAAAACCAAACATAACTATTGCTCAACAAAAGCAAGAAGTAGAGCAAAACTATGATGACTGCATACATAGCTTGTACTCATAACTAAACTTTAGTATTGTAGAAAACACTCACCTGAATAGTCGGTCAGATTCACAGAAGAAATAGAAAGTTGAAACTTTTCAAAAATTTCTGTTGTGCACTTCTTGTGAGCCTACTTTTCTTACTCAGCACTTCAGTTTTCTCAGTTTATAGTACTTTCCAGTCCTGGAGACACCTACTGAATCCCAGACACACAGAGATGAATGCTGACATACCTCCCTTTGCTCCGCCCCATACACTGAAAAAAATGTCTAATGACACAGTGGGTGTAACACACTGTTAGACTTTTCGTCTCCACTTTGCAGTAATACACTGGTGTCACTGTTGCCAGAGTCATTCTGCGTTAAGGTAAGTTACCGGGATGATACCGTTTTTTGCTGTTGTGGTATAATACTCTTGGACAAATTATGGTAATTAACTGTAGCCTCTTTTACGGTATCTCACTGGCGACAGTGCCGCCAGTGAGATACCGTTATGCCTTTTGACGTAAATTACGTCAACAAAGTAACATCATACTGTGATTAAGAAATTGGTATGCTACTGTTTATTCACGCTATGTCACTGTAAGCTTGCTTCAAGGTGATAAAACTGCAGTATATTTACCAGTAACTTACCTTTATCACGCATCATCAATACCAAAAATATCCATCTCTGTTAGAGGATACTGTGTTCCCACAGGCGGTCATTTACTGTTCAACACGTCGTAATTTACCGTAATATCGGGAAACAGTAACACACTGTAAGAGACTGGAGGGTAAAATTTAAATATATAAATATATA